TTTTAACAGAACCCTGTTCGGGTACCTTAGGCAGTACCGCGGCACTGAAAAAAGGACCTGCTCCTGTTTATTTTTTGAATGGTGACTTAATTTTCATGTTTTGTACTTTGAAATCATTCGATCTTAATCTAATATCCAATCTAATACACCTACCTATTTAGTGTCTTTTTGAAAATTTCAAACTCAAATTCGTTAATAGTTCTCAGGGGTTCATACAAATACTTTAGAGGAGATAGGAAATCAGATGACGGCTTATTTACAATATCATAGTTCAGATGGTTCATTGTTTTGTATTCAAATGGATGACTATCTTTATCGTATGTACACTTTTTAAGAGGAAAATAGTGGTCAAAACACATACAAGTTTCAAACGTAGTTAAATACCATAAGCGGTGGTTTCGTTTCATCTCTGCGCTAAAAACTTGGGAGAGATTGTTTTCCTACTGCTGCACTCAAGGCCATTTGGTTGTCGCTCAAGGATGGGAAGATTTACAGAGTTTTAAACATGAAATATGTCCAGTGAAAAAGCTTTTCATTTTTTACCCATTCCGAAAATCACATTCAAATACTTTATTTTCCGCTCTTCTTTTTGAAAAGCGTGTGGCTTTATTGCTTAAGAGTATTTCTTAGATAAAAAAAACTCCTGAAGGGAATGGTACCAGGAAGTTGTTAGTGTTTATTAGATGACTTGTAAACTGCCAAGTGGAATTCTGTATCTTACTTTACAGTTGTAATCCATGGTCACTGAATGTGTTCGACGCTAATATGTTGTAAATTTTTCACCAAAGTTATCTTCAGATCATCGATTACGTGTGTTATACCACTCAGTAAACAATGCTTAAGTATAGAATTGTAAGCAACGATGATGATTCTAATGATAAAATTGTGGAGTTTCTGTGGATAAATTGACTTAGAAATACACCACACATGTCAGATCACTATATGTGTGGTATGGTTACAAAGAATGGAGGCTGGGGATGAAGTCATTAAACGCCGGTCTAAGCTACGTAGCCAAGAGTAGACTAACTTTCTCGTGTCCTTCGAATGCTGGTAACCAATGGATGTAGACTCTCAGTGATATGAATGAAAAACAGTGGCTGTCATTTAACTTTGTTCCCAATCTGTTGTTTTTCTTGTTGATCCTAATATCTTTCAACTCATTAATTTCCTTCTTTTTATTGTCAATAGGTGGAAAGACTTAAACTACTTTGTTAAATTGACAGTTTTTACGTTCATACCCGTCTTCTTTTACATTACTTCATAAAACCCAACATTAATTGCATACCTGATAACAGCCAAGTTCCACGTCAATTTCCGTGAGGCGACCGATTTTAGTACTATTGGCTACCAAGTTTCGTAGATAAAGCCACTGTATGTTATAAATTGTGAATATTTTAAGCCCTAATAAAATGGTTTCATCATAGACGAAACTTAATAAAAACCAACGCTCAGAAATTTGAAGTTCAAATTGTAACAATAATGAGATAAAAAAAATCAAAATACGTAGAACAACCTAAAGTTACACAATAAGAAAAGTAGGCGAGGAGGAAAAATAAATACACACAGAAACCTTTGATGCTTAGAATTCTGAAGGAGGTAAGCGACAAATGCATTTATTCTGCTGAGGTCAACTTCAGTCTATGTTACTAAGTGCCTATGAACACTGAATCCCAAAATCTATGATTCAAGCCTGTTGATCTGCATACAGCTTGAACCAACATTCATTGATTGGATCTATGTATCAGTGGGCCTATCCCTAAGTTTCTTCAAAGCATCCCACTATATGTTGGGATAGATGGTGGTATTAATTTGCTATGAACAGGTAACCCTGAAGTTCTCGTTCACTCGTCTGAACTTAAGTGGGTTTACAATTGTCGAATAGTTTGTAATATAATTGTACACCAATAACTAATTCCCGATCACTAAAACAGATAACAAAATGGCGAAGATGAGTTCTGTATTTATGTACACATGATTATTTAAACGTCGGGAAAATATATCAACAAAATATCAGTTTTTGTGATAGTGTTAAGTGGGGATAAAATAGTTGGTTGGTACTTGTAATCTCCTGTTTTTATACAGGGTCGAATTATTCGACCTCTGTTAGCATACGGACTTCTATGCAGATGCCTGGAAGCTGTAGGATATTCATGATGTTGTGATAATCCTGATGACTCGCAGAGGAATCCAGGATTCGCATTTCGTCCCATTTGGGACTCTTCAGCTGGATGCACTTCCATATCAGTGAGTGATGTTGTTCCCACTGAGACTCGGACTCAGTACCCATCGTTTTAAACGCCAAAGAGCTATCCCCTAGGTCACTGAGGCACGAGTGCCACCACTTGTGAAACAGGTATCAGTTGTTGTTTTATACTTATAGTTCCCCGTTGCTATACATGGGCGAATTGCTTGACCTCTGTTGGCAGATGGGCTCCTATGCAGAGCTCTCGATACTGCATTCATCCTGCCAATAAAATAAAATACAAATAAATTGTTTCAAAATTCCGCTAATGGGAGAAGCTGGTCGACTTAACGCAAACTATCAAACACTGTTCTATAAAGGTCGTCACAAAACTAGCTAGTTTGGTTCTCATAATGTTTTCATTCATCATGGTTGAGATGATTCGAACCAAACTTAAATCATAGTTATTTTCTCTTCTGGTGGCCATCACAAAGAAATTCAGCCAAAACACAATTACTTCGTAAGTACGGGATTTCGCTTGCACATTATGCAAATGTATTTCCTAACATTCGTTTAGAAAAACGTAAATTTACAATGAACGAAGATTCTTAGGCCAGTTTGCACATGTAAGCGTTATCTGAAAGAATGAAAACTACTCGTGGAAATTGAAACTAAATGTGCCATATATTGAAAGAGCCACTTCATGAAGTGATATTAAAGTGTACCAGCGTACTCTTAATCCAGATGTTTGTGACTACATGCATACTAAACAGTGGTGTTTCTGCACACAATCTAATCGTGCGCTACCACAATAGCACTCACTTTGATAATAACTAGTCTATGATAAAGTAGCTTTTACTCAGCATGATAAATCTAGTATTTTTCTTTAAACTAATTCTCATCAAAACCTTTATAACTATCTGCTTTTGTAAACACCCTCATTATGCATCTTACATACGAAAAACGTTCGTACTATGCTGATAGTTTTTTTCATTTACATTTAAAATAATTCCTGATCTTACTAACTGTATTGGTTAGCCTAATGAAAAATCCTCATAAATTCATGTGTGTGTAGAGGTTTTGGTGGTCTCATCAACGCAATAATGGGTAGTATTCTTTACATCTATCCTATGAATCATAGCACGAAGGGACCACTTCAATTGACATAGTAGTTTTACTACGAGGAATCACTTTTATGATTTTGTGTAATGTTATTGGTTTGTTCTAATCCCATGATATCTTATTCCCCTAAACAAGTCATTTCTGTAATTGGTTTAGATAATTTCATGTTTCAAAATCATGCATACTTTTTCCCTTCTGTATGCATATATCACTGAGGTAGAAGAGGCTTTTCATAACAACTTCATTTGATTATCATTTTCAACGCACATATCCATCTTCTGGGAGGGTTGAATTTAAACACTAGAAGTATGTCATCATTTTTATCCAGTTATTACGTCCTCAAACGAGGGTCCATAAATCAGTCTTTGACTAGTTTGGCAGCATAAATATTCAAATCCCGCTTAATTTTAGGTTGAATCAAACACTAACAGAGGAACGAGCTTCCTTAGAAGCTAACCGACGTAGACTTATGAGTGAAATTTCCGATGAGCGTGAAAGACTGGCACTAATAGCAACTAAACAACGAGAAGAAATGGATACACTTAGACATAACTTGGAATCCGCTTTAGCAGAAGCCAATGAACAGCATAAAATGGAAATACAACAATTGAGAGCAGATTTAAGTCAGAGACATAAGGTGAGTGTTTTTTTATGTTAACTAGACTTACGTATGAAATATACAATGCATACAACTTCACGTTTTTTGTGACAAACTATGTGATCCTGCTGACTGGAATTCAAAGACAGATTATTATTACCACAGAATAGTCACAGTGTTGTTGTTTGATAAGTTGAACTGTTTTGATCAGGTTCAAATCTTACCATAAGCGTTTCAGTATCCCTGAACCTACCATAAAACAGTGGCCTACTAATACAAAATGTGGAACTACTGACTTGTTAAGACAATCACAAATGTTTTACAAAATACCTTTTTATTGAACATAGTGTTTCTGGACTACAAGGAACACCGTTTTGATATTTTTACTTAAAAAAAATACTCTTTTAAGAAGGAGTTTACACTTACTTTAAAAGCGTAAATAGCATTCATGGCTGCACAACCTAACCAATAAAAGCTTCCCATGTATTACTGGTGTAAAGTATCTGTGGATTAAAGACAGCTACATAAGATTTTCAGTTGATGACCGAACGTGACTTTCTTGTAAACTATTTTTAAGCTTATGTTGACCATCTGCATACAGTGAAGTTAAAAAAAGATCGTCATTGTACTAAAGAAAAGTAGAGCTTTCTCAATAACTCAGAATACATAAGACAGGTTTCAGAGAAGAAAATTTTTCTTTGCAGCGATTTCATTTTCAAAAGCTGTACAATCATATTTACATATAAGTTGACGTAGACAATAACAAATAACAGCATTATGTTTAAAGAATGTTAGATATTCTCTCGGATGAAAAAGTTCCAGAAAGCTTAATGTGGAAAAAAACGGAATTAATCGAAGAACAAGAAAAGAATGAAAAATAACTCACTGATCACCCTAGAACAACACGTAAAATTCAAACCGATTGAATCTATAATTACCCGACTTTATGATCTACTCAAAATTCATAAACCTGAACTACCACTTCGTCTGGTTCTGTCCCTATCACTCTGTGGCCAAGTAGTTAGCTGAACTTCCAGAACCATTAAAAAGACAAGTCCGTAAAAATTCGCTGCATGACAAATTTCAGTTTGTTGATTGTATTAAGTGCTACTGGTGAAACCATGTTTTCTTTGTTTCCTCTATGTTTACAAATCTCCCACTTAACGAAACAGTATATTTCATATGCAACAATATTGATTCCCATGGTGTATTTGTAGGGATATCCACATCTTACTTATGGAAACTCATGCTTAGATGTACGCCATGTTAAACTCATTTTAACAATGATACCTGTCGACAGAACGATGTCATCGCAATGGGATCCCCACTAGGTTGAGCGTTAGTTGATTTCTTCTTAGCAAACCTAGAAAATAGTACATTGGGGAAAAATATTGAGAAGCTAGACTTCTACAAGATACATATGGACGATATGTTTATCATTTGTGATCATACCTGTGATTCACAAGCATATTGAAAATATTTATTGATTTTTATTCATCAATTAAATTCACTCTCGAAGAAGAAAGGTATTCGAAAATAACAAGAACTGATGGATCTCTGAATAGATCGATCCACAGGGAAACGTGCAGCTAACAAATTTCCATAGCTTTGTCCCGATAGAAAGGAAAATTAATTTGGTTCCTTTTCTCGCATCACGCGTGCGAGAAATCTGTACAGAAGATAAAGTAGAGAATGAGCTAAATTTATTGGAACAAAACTTCATGGAAAATGGTATCCACCACGTCATACAGTGTAAAAGAAGACGGATAAAAAGCATTTAGACATAACCAAGCCAAGAAAGAAGATTTGCATCGATTTAGAGGTGATATTGCAGATGAATTACTTAAGTACCGTCTAATAAGGTCAATGGGAAAAACATTCTATGCTGGATCTCTAAGAGTTAACTATTCCAGCCGCCCATTGGTCCGTTTTCATGCTAGAGAAATGTTATCTGGATTGTTCAGTTTGATGTGTATCTACATGCTTACCTGCTCTTGTGCAGCTAGGCACATAGGACGTTCGTCGAGAAACATTCCCCATCGCAGCCAAGAGCACCTCTGAGTATGGCTGAGTAAAGGGAACGTAGAGACATAAATTCATCAATCCTCCAACATGTAGTTGACTACAACCATGCAGCTTCCGAACCATCATTTGACATTACTTACAAGGTCAAATCCAACTTATCGACATGTGGACGAATACACCTACTTTGCATAGCAGAATCCTTGGCGGTAAACGGTCTTAACTGAAACTACATATACAGAAACACTTTGTGCGGTCCCTTTCAGCATTTTTGACCATATGTTTCATACATCTAGCTCTTCCTTACTTTTATTTTATTTCATTCTATTACAATCCATTTTATTTTGTCATAACAACTTCAGTTATCTTGATCCCTATTGTATCACACTTTTTCCGGCTGATATCCGCATGCGTTGTTTCACCTAATCTCCACTCAACTACTTTTAGATGAAAACACATCACATTCATTCACTCATTTTCTCCCTGTCTGCGTCTCCTACATACTTTCAATTGGTTTGATGACCCATGGAATATTATCGTCACTCATATTAATTCCCTTTACTATTCCACTTATTGTAAAACTGAAACACACAAACAAATTTGTTATTAGATCTAGTTTGTTTTCGTGTAAGTCACAGTGTTTGAAATGAAATAATTCCGTTTCGCAAGGAAGTTTGGTCCAAGCTTCTTTAGGAAAATGCCAACCTCTTACTCAGTGCCTAGTATTTGTCAAACTATTCGATGAAATCTTGATCATAGTTCAAAAAACTTGTTATTAACTACCTCAACTTATGTATAAATACGATTGTACAGCTTTTGAAAATGAAATCGTTGCAAAGAGAAATTCCCTTCGCTGAAATCTTTGTTTAATGTCTGAATGGAGGTCGTTAGTTTAGCTCAAAATACATAAAGCAATGGACCAAAATATTTCTGTAATTTGCACTACTACCACCGACAGCACCCATACAAATAAACACATCCCAGCATTCATTAAACTCTGACTGCTTGAAATAACATATTTATTAGATGGTGCAGTTACAGCATTTAAACAATACAAACATAATACAAATTAGTATACGCCTCATGCTATTTCACTTAGCTTCTCTACAGATCCATTCGATTTGCTTTCAAATCTGACAACACCTAACAAGTTTAGTACTAAACACATCGTATAATAAAGAAATGAGATTTTTTGAATTAACCTTTGTTTTCCATCCGTAAGGAATGGTTATACCAACTTTCTGTCAGCTAAACTGAAAACAAGCGACTTGATTATTTCTTTGAGAAAAAGCTTATGTTAGGGATGAAGGATGAACTACGCAATGGAATGAACAGAGAATTATTGAGGTCTAGTAGCAGCATATTGAAAAGCTGAGGATTATCAATCTGGTTTAATGGTAGTCACCAGAGGGAGATGAAATAAATAAATAGCAGTATTACTTCTTAACTTCCCAATGATTCTGTAAGTGGAGCTTAAATAAATAGTTATATCTACTGATAACCATAGATCTTCACTCAGGAAATGCGCGTTCATTGATATCGTTAGCAGTTTACCGAAACCCCTACTGAGTATGATTACTTTCTTTAAAAAAATGAATATACGGTAGAAATTTCTATGAAAATGTTAGTTGATATTTTCGAATAATATACATAAGTATACTTCTAAACAAGTAGCTACAGTTACAGAAAATACATTAAAAGAACTTTTATAATCATTATTAATTAATTACACTTTCTTAGGATGAAATCACCGAGTTAAATCAACGAAATTTAGCTGAACGTGCAGCATGGGAAGACCATACAAAGTCTTTACTAGAATCTCAATACACTACCAGAGAGACTGTGCTAAGAGAAAAACTCAAGAAGACCGTGATCGTTTGCTAGAATCTGCAATTCATCGTCTTGAGGCTGAAGCAAATGAAGCCAGGTTAGAAACTGATCGTCAGACAGAACTAAAAATCAAGTAAGTTTGTTCTTTGAAAATAAGACAATTCAACAGGTAATTTGTCTACAATGATGAAAAGTTGGTTCTTTTCAATCTACTTTATTACTTTTATCTAACCTTCTTTTTATTTCAGACGCGTACGTGAAAAATTTCAAGCAGAAATCGAGGAGCTTGAAAGGTCTGAAAACAAGCAATGGAGAAATATTGTCAAATGAAGGTTTGTACATTTTTATGGTGCGGATTTAAGATTCCCCTTTTTTTTACATCCCTCCACCTCCACGCTTATACTTCTTCATAACATTTTGCAGCTTGATAGTTCTTCCTTGGCATATACTACATGACTAACTGACAAAACCAACGTAGGACTTTGTACTCAAGTTGGTGCACTTTACAGAGAACACAAACAGGTGATGTCAAAGAAGATAAAGTAGTGTGAGAGAATAAACAATATTCTACATTTAGTAGCCGGTTCAGACGGTATTATCTTTCTTATCATTATACCAACTATTGGCATCTATTTAGGATTTGATCGAAAATAGTTTCATCTTTTGGGGCATTAATAATATACTTTTCGAAAACGTAAGCCTATTCAAACACTTCCACTTTACTGTTTTCTACAGACTCAATTTTTGGATAAAGAGCATGAAGCAGATAGACTTCGATCACAATTTACGCAAAAAGATCAAGAATTAGCTGAAGTTCGTGTATTATACGAGAAACTAAACAAGAACGCCAAAATATTTCTGATGTGATACGTCAAGAATTCGCAGATCGCCTTGTTTTTGTGGAAGAAGAAAACAGATCAGTGAAGCGTGAGCTGGCTGAATGCAAAGCACGTATCAAAGCTGAACAAGAAAGACACGAGAAAGAAATAGATGCCATCAAGAAGTCAAACAACTCTGAAATAGAAACTGTTCATCAAAAGTAACGCAGCAGAATGACTTTGATTTTTTTCTTTAGGCAATCCTATTAAAAATTATGATTGTTATATGCACTTTAATATGTTTGAGATAGTCAAATTGACGTCCTGCTTAGATGTAATGCCACTTATTTCAGTAGTGGATACGTGGTTATCCTGGATATATAGAATTCAAACAAAATTAAGTGTGAATTTACTTGTACCATTGTAATCGATTTTGAACCACGTTAAGGCTATTTCCTCCAATTATTTCTTCGTAGCATTGCCCGGATGCCGATCAATCAGCTCACATATTTATTACCAACAGTTAGTGTCTTTCGAGTCTAGTGGCATGTTCTTTCAATTTGCGCCAGCCTGGTCATGCAGCAAGCATGATAAATGTTTCACAGAAAATCATACCATATACTAAGAAACATACCTATTTCCTTAACCAACGATAGCTTGTGATTTTTTTTACATTTTTTGCCAACCTTTTTTAGAGTCAAAGAAGTGATAAAGAAAAAAGATGAAAAACTTGTAATGCTACGTGAAAATTTTCACAGTGAACTGGAAAAGAAAGATCGTGAACTAGAAGCAGTCAACCAAAGAGCACAACATCTAGAAGAGTTGATCGACCAGCAACGAAAGCAATTCTTGCAGTCAAATCATTGAGCTGCTTCCATGCAGAATATGAAGATAAAATATGCCTATTTATATTTCAGGAAAGAGAAGCGATCTTCCGAAAAGGGGTTCAGTTTGAAGCCCCTAGAAAGTCTTTTGTCATTTTTTCCCAAGAATTCTTACTGATTAAATTTTTTAATGGAATATTCTTACTTCCTAGTAATTGTTTAATCACTGATCTCAATAATATTCCTTTATGTTCGACTAAAACGGTCTCAGCAATCTAATTACAGATGCAAACATTTCTGTAGCTGAAGATAGGTAGATTTACTGATTGTTAAACTTTAGGTGGGACTTATATGTCCATTAATATACCGATAAGTAATTACTGAACCACATTTTATTTACATCTCTGACTTTCAGATGCAGAAGACATGAGTTGTAAGGTTTTAGAAAACCTGTTTATTAAAATGAACAGCCCAGAAATTCCATGGTCCTATCAACATCCTTTCAGCAAAGTTATGGGGTTTTGCAACAATTTGACCCTGACCCACAGTGAGAGGATTTGGGTGTACCTAGATCGAATGGATAAGATCTATATAACCTTAACAGTGTTAAAAAGTTAACTTCGGCCGACCTATTATCCAGTCAAAGCTGCCATTTGACCTACTTATTTGAGAGGCCTGTAGTGTATAACCCCACTGTTTGTACATTCATCTTTAGTCACACAAATTTCCCATTTACTTTTGACTGCGTGAGATCCTTTTCTACTACAACTGGACTAGTACCGGGTAAACCCTTATTTGTTAAAGAAACAACTGAAAACGCAGCAGTTTGAACAATGAAGCACAGAGGTGTATTCTTTTCAGGAGTAAAAAGAACCAAGTTCGCTTTGTACATGAAACGTTTTCTAGTCTCCTATTTCTGCCTCTAAGACATCCAACGTATTTCGAAGTTACGTAGCATATATATATATATATATATATATATATATATATATATATATATATATATATATATATATATATATATATGGTAGCCGTTGGTGAAGATAAGAAGTAGTTAGATGGCAACCATATGACTGCAAGTGACATATAATATAACCATTCTTGAACAGGTTCTGGAATACAGATATACCCGGCGTTGTACACATTTCTTGACCTGTAGATGGAACTCGAATCTTTCAACCTAGAAGTGTTTTAGCAGTGTCTGATTGTGAACGGGGTACTGAGAAAGCGTACGGTGCTAATCAACGTTCTTTACCTGAGTATATACAGCTATGTACAGGTTTCTGGAATGTTGGTATCTGAAGTAACGACGATCAGAATTTTCACTACGAATGCTAATGGGTTAGTCATCAACACAACCCCTAATACCTACAAGTTCATGGGGATTGACTTATTTACAGGATGGTACCCTGTCGACTAAAAAGAAAAACACTATGAAGCTCTGCTCAATTAAGATCCTAAAAAAAAGTAAACTCTTGACTATCTTCAGCAGAATCTGTGTGTATACCACGTATTTCGTGCAAGTTCAATAAAAGACGATAGTTCAGGACTGATCTGAACCTACTATTTTTTTCGTGGATTGAAAGAAATGGTACAGCTGAATGACCATTTCACCTTTTTGGTGAGTTTCATCGGTTCGAAAAGGGCTGCTGACAAGATCCCAGCTCGATAGAGGACTGTCTGGTATTTACCCAATCCTGTTACTTCTAGCTCCTCTTAAATATGTGACTACTTATGAAATGACCAGTTTCCTGAATAGCAGTTCGCTCTATCTGATTATACAGCTTTGAGATATGGGCATTTTATGTAGAAGCTAAAAAGAGACTATAGGTCTTTGAACACTGGTATCGTCCTAGCGTATGTTGAAATCATTATGTGGACAATTTCAAGGTAAGGCATACGTTATTAGGCGAGAAAAGCAAGTCAGTCCATCGATTTGTGAGCCTCCACATCTACCACATACCTACCTCAGTGGTGTCAACAGAATGACTTGTAAGAAGGCCAAGTGTGGTCAAACAAGGACTGCACCAGTCCATGAAGCCTTAGATTGCTGGCTTCGGTTTATCCAGGGGTAGAAACCATTAGCAGGAGACCATCGAAGACCCACCCGAAAATTAGTTATAATGGCGGAGACGTATTTCCCCTTTGACACAGTCATAAATTAAAATAGTTAACTACTCTTTTTATAATGTGCGAAGGGCCATCAAAGTCCTCGTCCAGAATATGCTAGTTCAAAACTGCAGGAGAATTCGCCTACCGACGAAAGGACCACCAGTCCTCAATGAAGCTACGCTGAATGCTCAAGACCAGGTACAGACTTAGTCACTGATATGGCAGGAGAAGCACATTGGCCGATCTGTCTTCTCTCTCTCTCTCTCGATAAAGCGAAAGTAAAAAAGGGACATGGAATCTCCGCACCATGTTTGAACCTACCAAGGCTGCACAGATTGCCAAAGAGATGAGGAGGTATAGCATGAAAGTGCTAGGAATCTGCGAAACCAGATGGAATGGAAGTGGACTCTCCCAACTGTCAACTGGAGAGTCAATAATCTAATCCGACATTGTCACCCAGACGACAACTACGAGCACAATGATTTTCGGAGTGGCTATCATAATGTCCTCAACAGCATCAAAGGCTCTCATGTAGTGGGAATCAATATCCTCCAGCATCAGGATCATGACAGCAAGGAAGGAAAGTCACAATCATACAATGCTAGGCTACACACCTACAAATAATTAAGCGGATCAAGTGAGGAAGGAGAAATTCTACTGGCAACTGAAATCAATAATGGACAAGACCACATTCCAGTTGGCGATATCAAAATTCTAATGGCTGGGGTGACATGTTTTAATACCAAACTGGGAGCAAACAACACACGGAGAAAACTAACCATGGGTCGCGAAGAACTCGTTTGTGAAATGAACGAGAGTGAAGATCTGTTTGCAGACTTCTGTGCATTCAACCATTTGGTGATTGGAGGCGAGGCAGTGTGTACAAACACAAGAATATTCACAAAGTAGCGAGCGACATGGAGTTGATTTCACCAGACACCATGACACACTACACTAACAATCAGATCGACTTGATCTCTATGTGAAGAAAGTGGAGACGCAGCCAGCCTACTCGACACAAGGTCAGATGAAGAAGAGGAGCAGATGAAGGTGGTTCACACCACTCACTATCTAGTGCAATGAATCTACCTTCAAAATCAAGTTGAAAGCCTTCAAAGAAGTTGGTGGTAGACTGCCACAGTTCAAGTTCAACGAACACACAGAACACAAACTGAGCTGAAGGACGAAACTACAAAGGCCATCTCCACGTCAGTTAGCCATCATGACAAAATGGGAGACACTAAGCAACATCTGTGAAGGAAGCAGTGTGGAAGAAAACTGGAACTGTGTGAAAGAGATGTGTAAAGAAACCTGCATGATTGTGTTAGGAAGGAAGAAGAAGAGGCAAGACAATACAAGACACGACAAGGAATGGATCTCGACAGACACATGGAAGCTGATGGAGGAGGGAGAGGAAGATGGTGATGGTGACGGTGAAGCAGAAGATGAAGATGAACCAGTGCAGTGCGAGGATGAACAACGAAGAGAGGAACTGAACACAACCTATAAAACACTGCACTGAACAAAGAAATGAAGAAGAATGCGCGCAAAGACAGAAGACACTTCTACGACACATTGGCAAGTGAAGCAGAACAGCCTGCAGGCTGCTGGTAGGAGACCTGACGACACTATATCAAATAACCAGGTTACTACTGTCTGGGAGGGGAGAGATCAACATGGATGAAACCAATGAGAGATGGTGAAGGAAAGTTAGTTGCCAAAGAGAGAGGAGAAACAAGGGAAACAAAACGATGAGCTGACAACTTCACAAAGCTCTTGAATCGACTACCACCACCATTATCACCACCTGTAACTCTCCCAGAGATACCACCAACAGCCGAACCACAGAATTACCAGTGAACACAAGAACTCTGATAAAAGCAGAAGTGAAATCCGGGAGAGCAGCAGGACCAGATGGAATACCACCAGAGGCACTGAAAACAGACACCGAGACAACAGCAAACATCCTCACATCACTATTGCAGAAGGTCTGCAGGGAAGGAGGCGAAGGTACTTGCTGATTGATTGGAAGAAGGGCTACCAAGTCAAAATCCCAAGCAAGGGAGACCTAAGTCTTCGCAGAGACTGACGCGGAATCATGCTCCACCCTTATCCACTCAAAGCAAGCAAAATACTAAGCTGCATCATCCTGAAGAGGCTAAAAAATGCTCTGCATTCAAAATTACGACCGGAACAGGCTGGCTGGCTGGCTTGCTTCAGGAAGAACAAATCATACGTGGATCAAACTGCAATGCAACGTTACACTATACATCAATCATAGAACAGAGCACAGAATGGCAGTCAACTCAACTCTTCCTCAACTTCATCGACTTTGAAAAGGCCTTCGACAGCGTCCACCAAGAAGCCATTTGTCAGGCAGCTGCTTCAACACTACGCTTTTAGTGCCACAAACCCTTATCAACCTCATTCAACAGCAACTATATGCTGTATGATGCTACATGTCAAACGATTCACAATGGAAAGCTGTGACGCCTTTGAAGTGAAGACAGGGAGGAGTAAGACAAGGCAGCCACCTACAATCACCGAACATCTTCCTGATTGTGGTCGACTGGACTGGACTGGACTGGATTATGCAACAAACTGTGAGGAGCGAGAAGAGAGGCATACGCTAGCCGGACCGATGAAAACATGCCGGAAGAAGATTTGGATTTCGCCGGTAATGATTTATGTTCAATATCTTGTCGCACAAACTCGAAGATTTACAAGCAAAAACCAGCAAGTTGACAGAACAAGTAGGGCAGAGAAGACAGGACTTCAAGCGAATGTGGAGAAAACAGAGGTGATGAAGATACCCAACCAACAACAACAACAGCAACAACAAGAAGCACCAATCACCATCAACGGGAGAAACCTAAGAGAAGTAGTCTCTTTCACCTACCCACCTACCACCTAGGCAGGGCAGTATCGTTTCAACTACAGGTGGCGGCACAGATGAAGACGTCAAAGTCAGAATCGGAAAGACAGCAAGACAGGCCTTCATTAACCCGAAATCAGTGTGGAGATCTACTGCACTCCACTCCATTCAGCGTAAAGAGCAAGATCGGAATCTTCAACACTAATGTCAGTCAAGTGAGTCAGTGCTTCTATGTGATGGTTCAGAGACTTGGCGCGTTACGCAAAGCATTTCCAACAAA